AAAATCACAATTACCTCAGGAAACAAAGCTTAATTTCTCCTCAGAGATCACTACTTGCACATAAGGCTCTTAGGGATCAACTTGGTCAATTAATGGATCTCATAGAAAAGTACACTGTCTTAAGTACAAAAAAATAAAGACCCTCTTTGAGAAGAAAATGGTAGAACATCTATTGAAAAACCAAAATAATTATATAGTAAATGATCATCTGACACACATTTAGGGTTTCTTGAGGGTTTGTTTGTTTGCCTGTCTGTGTTTTGACAGGGTCTCCCTAGTCCCAGTCTGCCTAGAAATCACTCTGTGGATCAGGATAGCCTCAACTTCACAGAGATTCCCCTGCCTCTGCGTCCTAAGGGCTGGGATTTATGGTGTACCACCATGCCTGGTGTCTGACACACATTTAAAGCAAGTTCCATGCTAGGTCTATACTCAGGAAAAAAAAAAAAAATCACATTTATTGAAGAAGGAAGAGGGTGGAAACCACAACCTAACACAGGGACTAACCGTCGTCACCTTCCCTAATACCCTCAGAACTCTTTTAGACACTCTTATTCTCATCCAACTCAGAAAGTTTTAATATGTGGTCTACAGCCAATCGAAACTGTGAATCTAGTTCTAAACATTCTCTAGTGCAGTCTTGAAGCCCTCAATGGTTAAGCGTTCTTGAAGAATGATCTTTCTTCCTTTGTGTGACCTCTTCGGCAAGCAGGCAATGCTGTGCAGCAGGCTCGCTAGAGCGTGTGTCCCTCTGATTTAACTTGATTCTGGCAGTCTACCTGGACACATGATCAGATCCCAAAGCCCAAGAGGCTCAGTCCCCAAGACTGCTCCCCGACTCCAGATGCAAACTGCGCAGGTCCCAGGTAGGGTTCTCCTCAGAGCTCACTAATCTGTCAGAGCAGCCCACAGAACTCAGGACACTGGTTTGCTTTTTGGATTTGTTTTTATTTTATGTGTATGAGTGTTTTGCGTGCATGTATGTAAGTGCACCCAGGGCCCACACAGAAGCTCTCTAACCCATTCTTTGGGGGTTATGGAAGTTTACTTATGCAGGCACGGTCATTGGTAGTCAACTCAGCTTTCAGCGTCCTCCCTCCCTAAACACTCAGAAAGTATATCCTCTAATTTTGCCTGGGTCTTTTCAGACCAGCCCCATCCTGCAATTATCTAAGAGCATCGAGTCATAAACCAATTTTTAAAAAAAAATTGTTGCATGAGTGTTTTGCCTGCATGTATGTAAGTGTACTCATGTCATACAAAGCCTACAAAGGTCAGAATAGGGCATCAGAGCCCCTAGAACTGGAGTTACAATCGTTAGCTGCCATGTGGGTGCTGGGAACTGAATCTGGGTCCTCTGCAAGAACAGCCAGTGAGTCATCTCTCCAGTCTTCATAAACCAATTTTCTTTTTTTTGGGGGGGGGGTCTTTTTGAGATAGGGTCTCCCTGTAGCCCCAGCTGGCCTGGAGCTCACTATGTAGACCAGGTTGGCCTCAAACTCACACAGAGATCTCTCTGCCTCTGCTTCCCAAGGGCTGGGATTAAAGGCATGCATCACCACAGCCCACTCATAAATCAATTCTTTAGCATACAAAACACTCAATATTTTGAAGGTTCTAAGGATATCTGGAACTGTACACCAAGAAATAAGAACAAGACCAAAAGGGACTTCACAATATCACATTTAAGAAAGAAAAGCTAACGTAAAACCACCCTCAACATTCACATAAAATTTATCCTAAGATTACTTGAAGAAAGGTTTGTGCAAAATGCTTAACAGAGTGTCCAACATGTAGTTAAAGGCTAATTAATATTTAAATTGAATCTATCAACTAAATAGAAAACGGAGTATTTCAACTTTGTTTTTCTATGCTCGTTCTCTTTTAGATTAATTAGAATGGATCAGAATCCTTTAAGACAAAAACCTCAGGCATGTCAAAATTAAAGCTCTATAAACATCCCCTCTGTCAACTCAGGACAGCAGGACACATGACCACCACATGGGACTCTGAGCAAGACCGCACATGGAGGCTCTTCAGACGCTGACATTCTGCTGCTTCCCCCACACAAGAAGTTTCTTTGTTCTGTTGGATGTAGGCATTAACCCGGGGCTTTACCTGTTTAGGACAACTGCAGTGTATCTTCTTTCCACAAAAATAATTCCACATAAAATATTGGTAAATGGAGAAGGAAAATTTGTCTCTGGCTTTTCTTTTTCTTCAATTTCTTCATCCTCATCATCATCCTCAGAATCACTCCAAGACACATAATTATCCTGATTCCTATTATTATACCACTCAACACTTTCAAACTGCTGTCGCTCATACGGTTTATATTTGCGCAAGATTTCAAGCAGTTTTATTACTTTGGGAGTTACAAATTTCAGGTCAAGAGAGGCAGGTGAGAAGTACTCTTCACATAGTGCATGTATCTTCCTTAGCAAAGTGTCTGTAAACAACAAGAACCTCCTGTGCAGCTCCTCCTGCTCGTGTTTGATGTATTTCTGAAGCTCTCTCACCATCATTCCTGCTACTTTGTCTGCACACCAGGGCCCCAGAACCACCAAGACTGCTCGGCAGTCCGACAGGATCTACGAGAAAAGTGGAGAAAGCCACATGTCAGGGCAATCATGTACTTTCACAGTTTATCTAGAACTTCAGGTGTCCTTCAAGAGCCCCTTCAAAATCAATCTACCTACCATATACACACTGAGCTTAGTTCCCTAACACTGGGGGAAGATTTAACAGTCTTCCATTTCATGGATCTGTGCCTAGAAACATCTCTTTTTTCCCCCTCAGCAAAAATAATAGAAGCTAAATCATGCAGCTGTAGAAGGTGAACAAAACAACCTGAGCTGGGGTCCTCTGCTCTCTGCCCAATAATACATAGAACTGTGGTGGGGCAATACATGCTGGCAATTTTGTTCTTCAAGAAAGACCAGAAGAATGTTCCTTGAACTTTATCTATGTGCCACATTCCCTGGTCTTATATATATTCCATTATAATGAATATTAAAAAGAAACCTAGGAATTATGGGTGAATTCTGGCCAATCTAGCACCAGCATTCCACGTACAAAGACTAGACAGTTCTACACCACTGCACACTATCCATCGGCATCACTGGAAACAAAGCACTGCCACAAAACCTCAATGAACCCCAGGGCCCTCTTGGAGCCTGCCCAGAGTACCTAACTAGCTCAGAAGTCAATGAAGACACACACTCAGGTTCTCATGATGTAAAGACCAGTTCTACATGTGAGCAGAAGACATTCTGGGTTGAATATGGACTCAGCAAGATTCATAGGGTAAAAATTAAAAATAAAAAAAAAATAAAAAAAACTGGCCGGGCATGGTGGCGCATGCCTTTAATCCCAGCACTTGGGAGGCAGAGGCAGGTGGATCTCTGTGAGTTCATGGCCAGCCTGGTCTACATAGTGAGTTCCAGGCCAGCTGGGGCTATAAGGAGACCCTGTCTCAAAAACACCATAACAAAACTAAACAAAACAAAACACACACACAAAAAAAAAACAAAAAACAAAACTGGGCACTGCTATTCTAAAAAAATATAGCAAAATCCCGATGAGATAAATTCTGACCCACATTTAAGGGGGTATTAATTTCAGAAACAGCTCAAAATCCTGAAGTGGTTAGTGGTTCCTGATAATCAGTGCCATCTAGGGCTTGTCAAACTCAAGTCAATTCTGCTCCTCCCACCTCAGATTTCTGACTCAGCAAGTCAGGAGTGGGTCCCATAATTCTCATTTTAATGAGCTGCGGGAGCAGAGTGCTGTTATTGTTGCAGGTGTGGGGGCCTACTCAAGATCAGCATCCTAAAGACAGGGAACAAGCATTTAGACCAAGAACTCAAGCAGGAATTGATTCATCTGACCAAAAACAAAATAAAACAAACTGCACTTTTTTCTCTTCCTTTTTTTTTTTTTATTTTTTTGAAACAGGGTCTCACTATATAGCCAGCTAGCCTAGAATTCAATATGTAGACTAGGCTGGCCTCCAACTCACAGAGATCCACCTTCCTCTGCCTCCTGAATGCTGGGACTACAGGTAAGTACCACCACACCCAGCTTGGATTCGCTTTTTAAATAGGCACTGCATGAACCCTATCTCACCTCCTTAGTTCTGCAGGGACTACTACACAAACAATGCAAGTGCCTGTCAGGGAAGCCCAGCCTTATGATCTGTTCAATGCAAAATGTCCAAGCAGATAAGAAGGCGTCAAACTAAAATGTGCAGAAAATAGCCTTAATAGAAATATATTTCAATATTAAAAACAGGTTATTTACTATATTTTGTACATGCTTACCTGTTTAGAAATTAAAGTAGAATCTCTTTCCTTTGAATGTACAGATACATTACAGTCATTGATAAAATTAAGTGCTTCTTCTAATTCCATCTGCAGCCTTTCATAAAGCCCACTTCTGTCAGTAAATGGTCCACAATCTACCACAATCTCGCACGGCTGAGAAGTGTATCTTTAAGATCAGAAACAAGTTGTGAATATCAGGAGAGTGAAAATGCTTAACTATATTTAAAAAAAATACAAGAAAAAAGGGCCAGCAAGATGGTTCAGTGGGTAAAGGCGCTTGCCACCAAGTCAAATAACCTGAGTTCGACCTCTGGAACCACTTGAGAGGAGAGAACCAACTCCCACAAATTGTCCTCTGACCTCCACAGGCATGCCGTGGCACACACGGGCCCCCACCACAAACACTCACACAATACACACTAAATAAATAAACCTAGTAAAAAAAAATTTAAGAACAAGGAATCTCTCCCAGCACTCTGTCCCCCTTCTAGCCTTGGCCCACTCCAGCTGTTCTTCCTCAAACCTCTGGAATAACTTCCTAACCCAGACCCACCCACTGCATCCTAATTTCCTGCACCCAGACTAGCTCAATTCTCCCCCTTAGTCTGTTAGACCCTCTTTAGGCAGTCCCCACCCCCACCTTGGCCTTGGCCTCCAGATCTACCTGCCACAGATTTCCCTACTTACCCTGATAAGAAATGGAAACAACTTAAATGTCCCTCACCTGAGGAATGGATAATGAAAATGTGTTAATTTACACAATAGAGTTCTACTCAGCAGTAAGGAAAGATGAAATCTGCAGGTAAATAGATAGAACTAGAAACTGTAATACTAAGTGAAATAACACAGACTCAGAAAAGCACTCGACATATGTTCACCCCCATTTGCAGATCTTAGCTCCAATCCCTTTTATGTGAATACTTATCCTGATGTAACAGCAGGAAATACAGAGGTAAAGAGAAAGAACCTGAAAGGGGGAAAGTAGGGAACAGATGTTACCAAGGGGCTAATGAGGAAAATGGGGTATTCAACTGGGAAGGGAGGAGGGAAGACCATACAGGGAACCATGAAGAAAACGGGGAGGGAGGAACTCAAGAGAGTGGGGATAACAGGAGACAGGTATTATCAAGGAGAAAATGGGAGTACTTTAACTGGGGAGGAAGGGGGGAGGTTAGAAAGAGAGAGAGAGAGAGAGAAACCTTAGGTGGTATGAAAAGCCAGAGGGAAATATATTAACTCATCCCCCCCCAAAAAATACACATAAAATATCTGAACATGAGTGTATGTGTATAGCTGAAGTCTATATAACAAGAAGTGCCAGACAGGAGAAACTGCCCTTTGAGTTGCTGGTGAAGGTAGTGTATACAGACTCCCAAAATAACACAGCCTATTGACACAACTCTTGATTGTCTCCCAGAACTTGAAGATAAGACCCTATTGCTGAAGACAGGACATACTCTGGACATAGTACTTGGAGTAATGGAGGTGGAAGTGACTTAGAAGCCTCCTCCCTGAAGACTAGCTTTCATAGTTCTAGAGGGTACTACTTAAATTGCTAAGGGAGAGAATCAATCAATGGTCTAATCCAGCTGTAGAGCCTAATAACCATAACAACTGCCACAGCAAACTATCTCTATTGGTGCAGTAGTGACACTTTTATCTAGGGGGTGATCAGCAGCTATCTAATTGGACTTACAGCCCTCTCAGTGGGAGGGAACTCACGGTGGCACTGCAAATACAGCCAAATACACATGGCTGGAGAGGTCACAGATCCTAGAGAAAACCCTATCTCTCGCATATATTTAGACAAATGAAATTTCTTACTGTTTGATAAATGTGGATCCTTATATTTACAAAGAAGTATACCGTACATCACTCATCAAAAAAAACTTTTTGCAACAGATAGAGGTTATAACAGAGTTCCACAACTGGCCACACAATGTCTGAGAGATGCCTAGCCTTTAAGTGACACATCTGCAATGAAACCTCTACACCTGAGGCTCATGGAACATAGCAGAACAGGGGGTACAGAGAATACTAATCCATTCCTCAACTCTCACCAGAGAAGCTTCCTAATACAACAGAGAACGATATACACAGAAAGCCACAACTGGCCAAGTTTTAGAGAATAAGAGACTACAGAGTACATGTTCCTGGATAGAACTCCTACATTAAACCTCACCCACCCATGGCTTAGGGACCATTGCGGTAGAGGGGACAGAAGGATTGTAAGAGCCAAGGTTGGTGCATGAATAGAACAGGCTTTCATGCCTCAGGGAACTTGCTCGTATGAACTTGCAACAATAATGACAGTATGCAAAGACCCATGCTGACTCAATCAAAAACCTAGCACAGAGCTGGGGAAATGGGCAGCAGGCCCCAAACCGTAGCTGAGGAACTACTGGCAATTGACTACTGCTGGATGAGGGTCAGAGATCTTCTTTAAGGGAGTGACTCTAGATAGGCTGACTAGACTCCAGTGGATAAACTTGCACCAAGGGACATCTGGGTGCAAATGTTTGACCAAATAGGTCTTAATATGTATGACAGAATGCATGAAATTCAGTGGGGGAGGACATGAGGGGGTGTGGGTGGTGTCTAAATTTGATTAGAATCTATTACAAGAAAGGCACAAAAACTCAATAAAAAATATACATTAATAAACAAGGAAAAGAAGATGATAAGAAAATATCCCAAAATGTTAGCAGTGGAGTTGGATTTTAGGTATTTAATTATTACTTTTCCATATTTCTGAATTTTTCTGAAGAAAATTTATAACCTTAAAAACAAAACAGCCAAGACTGGTGGCACATGCCTGATTTAATCCCAGCACAGGAAGGCAGAGGCAGGCGGATCTCTGAGAGTTCAAGGCCAGCCTGGTCTACGTAGCAAGTTCCAAGCCAGCTCGCACTACAGGGAAACCCTATCTCAAAAAGGCCAAAAATAAATAAATAAACCAGTGACATATTATTTGTAAGCCCCCCCCCCAAAAGGAAAGGGAAAAGAAAAGAATGTAAGTTGGGCATCTACTACATCTCAAGTATGCTGAGAATCCTACCTACCTCTGACGTAACCCTCATACAGGGAAGGTTACAGAGGAAATGAGGGTCAAAGACATTAGGTGATTCTAACAAACAGGACTGCCTTTCTTTGAAAGCTCTTTCAACTATAAAGCACCCTACTTCTCCAGACACCCTTTCCTTCAATTTTTGAACTTTGAATACAACATTCTGAGTCATCTACCTCTAACTCATTTGAGTGTGTGTCTCTAATTGCGCAAAAAGTGCCCTCACCACATACCTACCTAGAGTGGTACTTGCTTTTCTCTGAGTTAGGGTGCAAAGAATCATGGTGTAAGGCTGATGTTCAAAGATTTTGTGAGTAGATTTCACAAGACTCCGGGGTTGGTCTGGCTGTTTTCAGGTTTGGAATGCTCCCTTTAGGCATCAGCCAGAAAGAACAAAAATGCTCATTTATTTTTCAGAATCAGAAAATGCTTGGAAGCAGTCATGGGGAATGTTTTATCATTAAATGTACATATTTCCATACCAATTGAAATTAACACTTCCAAGTCTATTTTTTAAAAGTTTTTTTTAAATAATTTTGTCTGTATGATGTCGGAGGTGCATATGTGCCACATGGTACATGTGGAGAGGGACAATTTGTAGGGTTAGTGCTCTCCTTGCACCTTTATGTGGGTTCTGGGGACTTAACTCGGGTTGTCATCAATTTTTAATGCATCCCTGTATGGTAAACTGCCCCAGCTTTCATTCATCTCTGGTGTCACTCCTTGGACCCATGGTGCCTTTCAGAACATGGGACAGCCAGAACAGACACATTATCCTGAAAGCACACTGATGATTTTAATTAATAAAGACTTTTAAAACACTGGGTTTTTGTTTTCTTTTCTTTGTCTTTTTGAGACAGGGTCTCCCTGTAGCCCCAGCTGGCCTGGAACTCGCTATGTAGACCAGACTGGCCTTGAACTCAGAGATCTGCCTGCCTCTGCCTCCACACCTGGCTGTTTTCATTTTTTCTTAACCCATATCTTAGTTTCTTTTCTTCTTGCTGAGATAAAACACTCTGACAAAAGCAACTTAAGGGAGAAACGGTTTCCTTTAGCTCACAGTTCAAAGAACAGCCCATCATGGTTGAGATTCCAGTAAAGGAAGCAGGAGCTTGAAGCAGCTGTGGACTGTATCACAGCAACAAAAGAAGAAACTAAGACATCAAATCAGAACTTACGCTTCATCAGAACTAGAGGATGTCTAGAGAACTAGGTAACACTTAAGGCAACAGACTACTTAGGAGTTATTACTTAAATGCCTTAACAAGCTCTGCTTCTCCCCAAGGCTTCCCTTACTACAGGCCAAGCAAACAAACTCAAGTCATAAAAGCACTGTGACGTGACTTTAAAAAACATACACAGAAGCTGGGTGTGGAGACACACACCTTTATTCTGAGCGTTCAGGAGACAGAGGCAGGCAGATAACCTCTGAGTTCCAGGTCAGTCAGGGTTACATAATAAGAAGTTTCCTCATACAGCAGATGGTGATTAACACAGAGACCCACAACTGACCAACATACAGAGAATAAGAGGTTGCAGAGTGCTTAGCCCTGAATAGGACACCTATGACAAATCTATGCCTCCCAAGGCTCAGGGACCATTGCAGAAGGAGGGGCAGAAAGACTGTATGACTATAAGTTAACAGTGTTTTCCAGACAGCTGAGCCTTTTCTCCAATTAACTCACAGCAATGGTGACAGCACACACAAGACCCACATAAGCTCAAGTCAGACAAATACCAGCATAGAGGTGGGGAAGTGCTAAGAAGCCCCAGTTCTGCTGAGGAACTATTGGCAACCGATAGTTGCTGGGAGAGGGAAAGCCAGCTTTCTTTTTTGTTGTTCTGCTTTGTTTTTTCTTTGACAGGGTCTCCCTAGTCCCAGCCCACCTGGAGCTCATTATGTAGCCAAGGTTGGCCTGGATCTCCCAGAGATCTACCAGCCTCTGCCTCCCAAGGGCTGGGACTAAAGGTGTGCACCACCACATCCAACATAGTTTTCTTTAAGAGTGCGACGCTGGGTAGGTTAACCAGGCTCCAGTGGATGGATCCCACCAAAGAGCTATTTGGGGACATAAATTAGAGTTGATAGGCCTTTAAAAAAATTAATTAAAAAAAAATATATATATGGAAACAGAGAATAGAGCACATGAAACCGGGCAGAGATAGAGGGGGATGGAACTACAGGAGGACTACGAATATGACTGGAATGCATTGTATAAAATTCTCAAAAATGCAATAAAATTTTTTTCAAACAAAATCAATAAATGTTAAATTTAAAAACATAGTGTACATGTATATACAACATAGCTGTGTTGGTTCAGGAAAGTCAAAAACAGCCTATCCTGAAAGGGTAATAAGATTTGTGTTTCACGTGGATAGCTGGATTAATATAAATATAAATGCTACCTTTCTTCTCACTCTAAAAGGAGAATTTCCCAAGCCGACAAGGAATTTCCATGTGTCCACGTAAGTGATATCAAAGGACCCCAAGAAACCAGGATGCCACTTTATGCAATCAGGGAAATGACTCACTCAAGATAAAAGCTTACAGTTAGTGGAGCTAATAGTCAAACCTAAACCTGATTCAACCTCGTTTCTAAGAACCACCACAGAGCAGTCATTACTCTGCCTTAAGATTATAGTAGGGGCCCGTGAGACAGCTCAGTGAGTAAAGGTGCCTGTCGCCACACTTTACAACCTGAGTTCAATGCCCAGGACTCACATAGTAGAAGGAGATCATCGAATCCCACAAGTTGTCTGTCTGTCTGTCTGTCTGTCCGTCCGTCCGTGTCTCTCTCTCTCTCTCTCTCTCACACACACACACACACAAAGTGGCATAAACACTCATACACATATTAAATAGAAGTAATAAAAGATTATACAAGTAAGAACAGACTATTTTGACATGAACTGAATGTTGTATTTACTTAAAAGCCCATTTCCCTACATTAATGTTAGGATTCTGTCTTAGTTTCTTGGCTGCTGCTATGATAAAATATTCTTTTTTTTTTGGTCTTTGAGACCAGGTCTCCCTGTAGCCCCAGCTGTCCTGGAACTCACTATGTAGACCAGGCTGGCCTTGAACTCACAGAGATCCACCTGCCTCTGCCTCCCGAGTGCTGGGATTAAAGGCGTTTGCCACCACACCCAGCCAATAAAATATTCTTACAAAAGCAACCTCAGGGAAAAAAAGTTTATTCAAGCTCACAGTTCAAGGACACAGTCCATAATGGCCGAGAAGTTGAAGCAATGGGTCACATCACATCCACAGTCCATAAGCATGAAGCACCAAATGCTTGTTTTCAGCTAGCTTTCTCCTTTTTATTCAGCTTAGGACCCCAAACCCAGGGAATGAATGGTACCACCTGCTTTTAGACTCACTCTTCCCACCTTAATTAACCCAATTAGGATAATCTCCCACCTGCACGACCAGCGGCTTGTCTCCCAGGTGACTGTAGATTCTGCTAAATTAATAATCAACACTAACCAGCAGAGCTCCCTTCTATAAACTAAGCCAGCCAGTCAGGCTGTGTGCATGTGTATGTTTATAGATGTTAATTATAGAAACTCAAAACCATTAGCCCCTCAAAATGAGACAAACTTTAAGTCATGAACAGCAAGCATCCTTCTCAGAAATTGGCAACCTATTTTCAAAACAACAGGGTGTTTCCACTATTTTAAAGCATGCTGCTGAATTCTCTAAATGTCTTTCAAAGCATTCTGTGAGATGCTAGGTCAGAAAAATAAAGTATAAACACTGACAGAAAAGAAGGCAAATATACTGATAAAGTCTCCAGTCTATCAGCTAGAGGAAACAGAAAGGGCTGACCCCTATGCAACATAATCGCTCAAGGCAGCAATGCCTCCATCTGATGCCCTCTGTGGAAACAAGATTAGGTTCTTGCACCTGTAGATAATTGTACTTATAAGGAATTCTCAGTCTTATCCCTTTCGGCAACCATTTATTCACGGAAACAGGTACCAAATGCAAGGTGTCACAAAAGATACCGAAAGCAGACCTCTGATTATAAGCAATCTTCTCAACACCAAACCAGTCAGAAGTGCATACCTGTCTAATACCACCAGGTCAGTTGCAGTTTCAGCATTACTCTTAAGAATTTCCTCCAGTTTCTGAATCTTTTCTTCCAATTCCTCTGGATCACATTTCCCATTTAAAATGGAAGCAGTTAGTCCCAAAATGCGAGGGCATGATGGACAACTTTCACAGAGCTGACATAATAAAAGATATTGACACTGAAGACTTCATTTGGCAGGGCCACAACTAGAGCTATTCAGGTATACCAAAATCACTGACAAATGCTAAAAACCAACTTCACAGTGGAAACATCCGTATAGCAAGGGCAGCATAATAGTAAAGATTATTGTTGTTTTTTCTAAAATACCTGTTTTCAAAAGAGTACAACTGAATACTCTATACAAGACTATTATGCCAATTGATTCTATGTTAAAAACTATAGATTTAAATGAACAATAATTTTAATAATCATTAATTCATATATCCACTGGAATCCAGTTTGCAATACTGGTAAATATTATTGCTCTTCATATTATTTTCAGAAAAACTGCATACACTCAATAATTTGACCATAAATTATCAAAATTGATAAAGGCTAAACACCTACCTTCATAATTTCTCGATAAGGGTGGTCTAAAATTGCAAGATGACACTCATCAAACACCAAAAGGTTAATGTCTGACAGTGATAAGTAACCATTTTTCAAAACATTCAAGGCGACGCAGCAAGTCATAATGAGAACCTTTAAAATAAAATGACATCAGTACACCAGCATGCCATCACCTGCCTATGCCTGTATCAGAGAGGTCAAAGGTGAGGACAAGGAGATTCACTGGTCAAAATGAAAGCAAAGATTTTTACATATGTATATTGGAACTAAGATGTAAATTATGTAGTACAGGAAGATTATAAGAAAAAATTCTCAGAAAGGGAGACCATGTCCTTGAGATAAATTTACTAAAGTCACTTCAAGTGCCCGTAGCCGTATTTCCACAGGTGAGACCTGTTAACTTAGTCAACTCACAAAACAATTCACACTGTTATTTCTTTCCCCATTGAGCTGACAGGGTTTTCTAGATTAAATATTCTTGTAGCCTATCATTTTGTGGACAGGCTTTGTTTTGTAGATTCATTCCAGTATTTGAGAAATACTAGTAGACTAAGTGGCATGTTTAAAGCTAGTTATAAAGCAGTGTATCTCCCAGCACTACATAGAAGCCCCCAGCACATGGAAACATGGAAGATAAGAGACATCCCCTTGAAAGAGCAAAGGCCTCAACCAACAAACCTCATTTCCACACATCTAATTCAAGAGTACATTTTCTCAAAGCAAGTTATCTTCATGTTGGAAATAAGTCACAGGAATTTGTGTTTTTCAAGTAAGTAAATGACAGCTGCTTCTTTTCTACCCAGTCGGTGATACACAAATCAGCAATTTGCTTGGTTTCAGATGAGCCTTAAGGGAGCGAGAATGGAAAGAGGCTAACTAGCCTCTGGCTGAGAAAGAGTGGGAAAGCACGGCTCTCAGACCTAACTCAGGTAACTGAGGCTACGGGTTATAAACCAAGTCAAGGACTTGTAGGATGTATGCAGTGAGCCTCTCTACAAGTCTTACCTGGTGCTTAGCAAACTCTTGGTTCCATCTCTCTTTTGTCCAAGATGCATTTACTTCTAGGTTTGAGTATTCCCCAACCTTGAGATCTGAGTGAGTTCTGACAGCTGACACTTGTTGAGCAACCTGGTTTGCTGATTACAAATATAATACTCCATGTAAATATGAGAAATATGCCTAATTGGCTCTCTGAACAGTTATAGAAATCTTTATTAATATTACACTGAACTACCAAATTTTTAAATAGCTAATTTAAAAATCACAGTTCCAAGATCATCCTCCAAAATGCACATAGGGGACCTACTATCTCACCTTCCATCACTTACTCCAGACAACCTTACAGCACCTTTCTCCTTTCCACTTGACTTCCTCCAATCTAGACTGTCCCTTTCGGGTTGAATGGCATCCACTCCACACCCAGCCCTCCTGCTTTCTTCAATGGAATCAGCTCAATTCAACAAGAATTAAGGCAGTTTCATAGTACGTAAATCACATGATTATGCTAAGACCTTCTCTAAAAGGGGGAGATTGGCTTGGGTTTACAGGTTATGTTTTTATTGTGATAATTCCAAACACACATACACAAAAATCAGTATTTTCAATTTACTCAACAACTTTAAGAAGCATAACTTTCTAAAAACTGCTACAGCAAAACCACTAATCAAAAAAGTACTCATCTCTAATTGAACATTGACATAATTTAAGAAGCTAAAACATCAAGAACGAAAGTCATTTCAACAACTTAGATATGTCCCCAAAGTAACTCATTTACAAGAAATACAAATTCAGAACAACTGAGAGACATTCTGTAATGAAATAAAATGGTATTTTGGCTGGTAGAGCTTCAGTAAGCTCTCTTCACTTTCAATAATATAACTTAAGATCCACAGAGATAAGCTGTTTAAATACAAGCCCCATTCAATTTCCTCCACACATGTGTAAAATAGTGTCTATTACCAGAGTTGACCAGGAACACGGTCCTTTTTCCGTCTGGGCTGAGGTCTCCCCTGATCTGATAGGACAGCTCTTTAGTGAGTAGTACTGCAATAAACGTCTTCCCTGAGCCAGTGTTTAAACAGACAATGGTGTTATGATCCAGAGCTGCTTCCAGCAGTTCAACCTGGAAATATGACGGGAAAAGATTGCACACTCCTTAACCAGGCACAAGATTTCAGAAATCGTGTTTTGTTTTAAAGCAGGAGATTTCATTGTTCTCTAAAATCTTCTGCCAGTAACTCTGAAAAAAAAATACTATCTGCGCATTTACATGAGAATATCAATCAATCCAATCGGGGGAGTAAAATCCTGCTATATACAGCAGTGCGGCTGTGAGCATACGTTGAAATGGCAGTAACAAGTATATCTGAGAATTATCTTTGCACATAACACTTCTCTAGAACTACATGAATGACTAAACTTATACTAATTCCGAGTCTACCAGTTCATGACAGTATTTTCAAACTGATCCCAATTCCCACCTGGCTCAGTACGATGGCACACCCAACTGGAAACAAGAAAACAGGAAGATGCCAAGGGAGGGAAGAGTAATAAACTCACAAACTACCCACAAATCAATTACCCAGCAGATGTTAGAACAGTAAAGATTAAGAACAAAAGTATTTTGAAAAAGAAAATTAATCAGAGGAGGGAAGCTTGAAAAGGTAAATGATTTTTATAAGTTGTCACAACTATATGCTAATTTATTCCATTTTAGTGAAAAACGCTCCATCCAGCATTAGTGTTTTCATTAGTACCTGATATTTTCTTGGCGTATAAATGTTATCATGAATTGCTTCTTGTTGCCATGGCAGTCCAAAGAAAGGACCCATTGGTGAGGAAGCAGGGGTCATGAGCTGCAGGCCTGCCATGCTGAGGGGTTGCAAAGCAGGGCTTTTCATTCATCCAGTGTTTCTCTCATTGCATTTTGTTCTAGCACAGCTTGCTACAAAAGGGAAAAAGAATGCCATTACACAACCATGCAGGGTTAGAACAAAAGAAGGCACAGGGACAAGAGAAACATCAGACTATCATTCCCATGGGCTCTTCAGACACTACCTATGGTTGCTTTAGCTCTCTCTTGATCTAACAAGATTGTTTTACAAGTCAAGCACTCTGTACCTAGCCTAGCAATCCTACACCTAGAAGCTTGCCTAAGAATGAGTCAGACAGCTGCATAAAGATACAAACACATCAAATTGACCCACATTACCGAGAAACAAGAAGTAGCTTTAAAATCCACTAGTATGAAATGACAGTGACGAGAGAGAGCTAAAAAAATACCTAAAGAATCTAAAGGAATACTTTGAATCTAGTAAGATTACAACATGTATCTACATTTACTAGCATAAAAGTGTCCAGAATAAACCTTTAAAAGAAAATGTGAATATGATGTCTTATTAAACAGACACATGTATGTAAATATATACAATATATGTAAAGTATACAATCACACATATATAAACTTATTTTTGTAAGTTCTATAATGTTATCGACAAAACAAGCCAACATACAGAATGGCACCTAGCACTGTGTCTACGCTTAGGCAGATTCAAACACCTAACCTGTTGTCATTTTATTAAAAGGTCAAGAATAGAGGGGCTTTACTTAACCAACAATACACAACTGCAAGGCTGACCAGCTAGCCTAGATATGTAACTTAAAAAAATCATACATACCTTTAATTAAGTAAAGCAAATCAAGACATTCCAAAACATGTTAAATTATTTCACATTATCTAAGCACTCTCATATTTCATATACTATTTTCAGAAATACATCTCCTTATGTAAAATGCCAACATAAAAATTCTCTCTAAAATTGTGCAAGCATGTGCAAAGGCCTCTATCACTCTTTTATTTGTTGATAGGGACTCTCACTGAACCTGGACCTCACTATTTCGGCTACACTGGTGTTGTGTATAACAGTCGTCAGTTTCATCAGAAGCACTGTGACTACTTCCAAGACACCCCAGGGTCAGGCTTGTTGATACTGACCTTCCCTCATAGGAGGTAGGGAGTCTCACGCCCTCACCTGAGGTTCCAGATGCTCCCTCTGCACCTCCCGGCCACCTGTAACTCTGCCCTAACTGCACATGGCCTCAGAGGATCCTGGACAGAAGGCTAACAGAAGAGGGACTCCATCGATGCAGCTGTGAGGTCGTCCATGCTGGTGTGTGACTTTCCAGGGGTTGGCTGCTTTGGGGGCCACACACTGCTGTAAGCTCACCATACTCAGTAAGACCATAAACTCACTGGTTCCCCAAGTTGGACTTTGGTGGTGCTGTACTTTGGTTCGTCATTGGAGCCCTGTAACAAAGGGGTAGATGTTTGCTGACATCTCCCCAGCGTTCGACAACACTAGGCAGAGTAGGCAGAATCACAACAAAGCTGAGTTTGGGACGAGCAAGGCACTGCTCCAGCTGTGGGTGCTAGGACATGCAAATGAAGCTGCGTCTGAGGGTGGGCATCTTTCAGGGTATCTCTCTGTGGTAGGAGACAGCTGTGCCTCTTTGCTGTAGCAGCAACTGCAATGTTCCTGCTTTGTGAAGAACGATGTTCAGGTGAGGTAGAGATGGTTGCCCAGAGGGAATTTGCTTGTGTAAAGGGGGGAATTACAATGGGAAGTCTCTGCTTTGAAAAGGAAAATGGAAAAAGGATGAGACAGAGGTGCTGGTTTGCCCTGTTCTGGGCTGGTAGGAGAGCATAACTCAGACCCATGTTCAAGAGCTCTCCTGAGATCTGTGGGAAGTGGCAGAGGAAAAACATGAGGTAACAGTGACAGGGAAAGAACTGCCAATGAGAGCCAGGGCGAGTGACACCCACTCTCGGGAGATCTATGTTCACCAGCATCAGAAAGAAGTGGATTCAGCAGGGCTCTCTCAGCTGAGCGGCAGTCTGAGTGGCCTTGATGACTGTTAGGAATTAAGTGACACAGACCTACAGGTGGATCGTGTTTGTTAAGTGCTAAACCAATCAAAAGGGGATAAGAAAAATAGAAAGGAAAAAAAAGGAAGGGGCCACAGCCTACATGGCAAGATAAACATAGAGTTAGATCCTAGGGTAAAAACTGATGGAAACCAAACACTGTGCATGAAGGCCTTTGGAAGGCTTTAAAGTCTAAATGGAAGGTCAGCACAGGCTGGAGACGTCAGCGAAGCCACGCTGCCAGCTGCTGAGGAGGAAGGAGCTCTTACTGGGAGGAAACCACAATCGCTGCTTCCCTCACAGTCACCAGGGATGCCTATAGGTGACAACCATGCAGAGTGGCTGGAAACACACTGAATTATAGATTTACTGGTCTTCTGTTAATGAGAAAAATATTTGTGCTTGGGCGGCAACTAGAACCAGGTGTTCCTCAGTTGCTGGTGGCCCTCAGGAGCACCACAGGCTGGCCCATTCACTGATGGATATGGAGGTAGGTACAGGTGAAAACTTAAACTTGACCTAGAGGCCGGGAACTTTCTCCCCTGAGATACTTCACACTTCTCTCCTGGGGTGAACTGTTCACACAGCCAGATGTACTCAAAAGGGAAGAGGCAAGCTGTAGTTAGACCAGTGCAACGGGTTGCCCTGGTCCCCCTTGGCTTTGGGCCTGGCCAAGCAGCCTGAGTCAGTCCTACTAAGTTCATCAGGGTGGGAAGAGGCAGGAAACCCCAAGGAAGTGCCTGAGGAAGCCAGACAACCAATAGAAGCAGACCAAATCATTTCATGCCGTGTTGTACCTTGCTAACATTTTACTTTAGTATCTCTTAGCTGCTGACTTCTTAGATCAACTGATATTTGGTTGGAATGAGTGACAATGGATCAGAGTACCTCCCCACAGTTATCTTCACAGCCACACTGTCATGGCATGGTGGCCCAGGACCTTACTTTGTTATCCTGCCCATTCTCTGTAAAAAGGTTTCACTCTTTAGGTGACATGATGCCGATGTCTGAGTGTATTATGGATTTGGAAACCTGAGAGACACTGTACCTAAAGGAGCAAGGGTGGGAAATCGATTCAGAAAGAACAAGGGCTAGGAGCAGCTGGGAAATTCTTGGGCACTTTATGATTAAGGTATAGATGATATTCACCAAGGTGACAGAGGATTCTACAGAACCCTGTGCCAGTACATTAGAACAATGGCTAAAGAATGAACAAAGGTGCCCTGTGTGGGTAGAAAAGGACACCAGAAGCTATCTGGCAGCTAAACAAGAATCTCAGTGCTAATGGTAGGTTGTCTCCTTATGAGTTATTGGCCTGGAAAGCCCAAGAGCCCCTCCCCTCCAAACCATAGAGCTGTCGCCACTACTGTCAATGGCATGCCAGAACTAGATGGCATGACCCTGCTGTTGAAGACACTGCAAACTCTGGTTGCAGGACTTGGGGAAATCAAGCTGGGACTGAGCAGGAAGTGCTCAGCCTCTGCTGGCTAGCTTTTGTAGTTCTGGAAGGTGCCGTTCAGGCTGTGGAGAAAGCTTGCCAGAAGTCCTACTCAGCTGTGGAGGTGCCAGGCAAGGTGTGCCAACTAGTACAACAGTGGCATGGGTGTTATGGAGACAGCATACCCCCTGACTGGATGTAAGGCCTGCTCCACAGAAAGGAACTCATATATGGTACTGGGGGCTCAGGAAAACCCATGGCTGGGGAGGTTATAGGCCCTAGTGAGGACACAACTGCTATTTTGTTAAATAAATGTCATGTATCTAACAAATTGCCTTCTGAATATTTATATGTATACCCACAGATGACTGCTGTTACACACAAGTCAAGCTCTTGAGATAAGTGACTGCTGATGTGGCAGGATAGCCCAATATCCAGCTAGAGATGGAGGATGATCAGACACCCTCCAGGGCTCAGGATACATCATGAAGAGGTGGGGAAGAGGTAGAGTATTGTACAGCATTCTCCTCAGAACCTCTGTGATTACTTCCAAGACACCCCAAGATCAGGCCTGTTGATGCTGACCTTCCCTCATAGAAGGAAGTGGGAAGGGTCTTGGACCCTCACCCGAGATTCCAGATGCTCCCTCCGACACTTGTATGTCTCTCACTTAGGTTTCCAAATCCATAAAGCCCTCAGAGGTCAGCATCATGTCACCTATAGAGTGAAACCTTTTTACAGAGGATGGGCAGGATAGCAAGGCAAGGTCTTGGGCCACCATGCCATGTCAGACAGTGGGGCTGTGAAGACAACCTTGGGGAGGTACTCTGAAGATCCAGTTATCTTAGAGGTCAGCAGCTAAGGGGCATGTAACTCTGCTCTAATTGCACATGGCCTCAGGTCTCAGGGGGTTCTGGGATAGAAGGCTAACAGAAGAGGGACTCCATCTATGCAGCTATGAGAAGTCGTCCATGCTGGTGTGAGACTTTCCAGTGGTGTGGTTGCTTTGGGGTTACCCATGCTCTATAAGCCCATAAACTCACTGGTTCCCCAAGTTGGGCTTTGGTGATGCTGTACTTTGGTTTGTCATTGGAGCCCTGTAACAAGGGGATAGATGTTTATTCACATCTCCCCAGAGAGAGTTCTTAACGATGCTTGGCACAGTAGGCAGGACCATAACAACTAGCTGTCTATCAAGACTCCAGGATCTGCCTATTCCCAAGTCCCACCCCCAGAGACCACCACATACACATACCCATCCTGCCCCCAGTTCTGGGGTTATAGACATCTACCATGATACCTAGTTCTTATACATGGGTGCTTGGGATCCAAACCCAGGTCCTTGTGCTGCGAAGCAAGCCCATAACCACTGAGCCTTAGCCCATGTTTCTAAAAGTCTTACCCAGAACAGAGAGCTAAAGTGCCAAGGCTCTGTGTGAAAGCCCATCATCACTCCATCGGTAGAACTTACCTGCCCTGTATTTGGGAATTTATACCCTATTTGCTCTGTAGTGTTCACTATTACTCAATGAAAATGGAAAAAGAATCCAGCTCTTCTGTTTCCTGAAAACAAACTTTTTGCTTTACTGGTATGCTAACTTTAGGGCCATTCTATAGAAATATTACTTTGTATTTATATCCTCCATCCAGCCTATATCTTTTTATATCTTATGTCCTATAGGAATATTACATTATATCTAATCCAGCAGGAAATCTTAAGTACAGTCAGTCCCTTTTATGCTGAAGCACAGAACCGCACTCTAATTTCAGAAACTAAGCGACTGCAGACCTGAAGTGCAGCTCCCACAAGGTGCCATCTCAAGGTAGTGCAGAGACATGAGGACCTCAGCAAGACGGTGCTCACACAGCAAGGTGCAGTCACTTATTAGGACCTTTTTCAGAGGAAGATGGCACGCAGAAGGCAGCAGAGCACTTCTCGAGAAACCATCAGGTCATGATTTTTCTTGGATCAAAGAGACCATGTTCCTAATGAGGAAATCACTCATTCTCTACAAAACCAAAGCCCAACAGCCAGCCATTCCTTTCACCCCAACCCTGACATATACAGTTGCAAATTCCACAGCCCTCAGGACTCCAGCACACCATATGGATGTCAAGTTCACCTAGCTTCTGCAGATCAGTGCATCACCCTGAAGGTCCACAAGGAAGGCAGGCTATGGCACTGAGCTCCCCCGCAGCTTCCGCTCCCACAGTGCCTCTGCTTCATGGCTGCAGCTGCTCGCTGTCTAGGAGCGCTGGCCGATGATCCCTCACTTTTCACCCCGCACACGCTGATGCAGACCCATCAAGACACCACGAAAGGTTTCAAGGAAACCTAAATCCTGGCAATGGGACTCTAAAAGGAAGGCAGTGGTGAGAAGAGCTGACATTTTTCTGCCACTTCTGAACTCTAGGTGCGTGGACACTGGCAGCCCTATCTGTAGCCGTCTCCAATTCTCAGATAAACATTAGTAATAACAATTAATCTGGAAAAATAGTCTACAAAACAAGTAAGAGTGTTTTATTTTTTTTTAAGGAATGAAACTAACTATGGGAATTAAGGGGAGGAAAGAGCTCAAGAGAGGTGGGACCATAGCAGACAGAAATTATCAAGGCAGAAATGGGGAAAATGGAGACACTATAAATTGGGAGGGCAGGAACAATTGGGAGGGAGGATAAGACAGGGAGGAAGCCGGGCGTGGTGGTGCACGCCTTTGATCCCAGCACTTGGGAGGCAGAGGCAGGCAGATTTCTGTGAGTTCAAAGCCAGCCTGGTCTAAATAGGGAGTTCCAGGCCAACTGGGGCTAGAGAGAGACCCTATCTCAAAAATACCCCCCCCCGCAAAAAGAATGTAGGCACTGTTGTCTTAGGAACATGTTTGGCCTAGAGAGATGGCTCAGCGGTTAAGAGCACTGACTGCTCTTGCAGAGGACCCAGGTTCAA